ACGCCCAGGAGTAAGGGCAGGGAAGATATTTTGGGGCAGGCGGATCTCCTGGTCACTGCTGGACAATGGTCCAGGGCAGCCATTGTGCTGGGAGTGGAAAATCCTTTTCTGACTCCATCTCTAACAGCTGAAAATAGTCCAGGGTGAGCCCTTGGGGACTGAGTCTGGGGCCATGACTGACTGGCCCAGCCCTGCCCATTGTTCCTGGCTGGGACAGGGCTGAGACTGGACACCTGGCTGAATGGGAGCCAAGACGGAGGTTAAGCTCAGGAAGCCTGTACTGGAGGAAGAGCAGCTGGGCAGAGCCAAGCCACATGGCAGATGGGGAAACTGAGGCCCAGAGAGAAGGGATTCCCTAAGACATCTGGTGCACAGGGGAGAGGAGGAGAGCCCACTTGCACATACCACTTGGCAAGGCAAACACCTCTCTCACCCTCCATCTGCAAGGGGCAGGGCCATTAAACAGTGGACCAGCTCTGCTCCAAGTTCCCATGGGCTGCCCATGGAGTTGATTTTCCTGTCACTTGATGCCAGGGGAGAATTGCTGCTGACTCTAGTCCTCAGAACTGAGAGCCCAGGGGGTTGGGAGAATCCCTGGGGAGCAACTGTTAGTTGTGCCTTTGATGAAGAGCAAGGTGGCTGATGCCCTGAGGCAGGAGAACTGGGACTTGGGAGGCACGGGATTCAAGCTCCAGAGAGTGGCCCAGAGAGGCCAGACAGCTAGCCTCCGGCCACACAGCAAAGTTGCCCATTTGTTGCTTGTTCTGGCCCAGCTCCCAGCTGGTCTGGGTCTCCGGGGTCTTGGTTGAACCAAGTAGTTGTTACAGCACCCCATAATGGCAACCATCACTTAGGGAGAAATGGCTAAGCCTGTTGCCATGGCGAGTGGGACCACTCTGGACCACAGAGACCAGAATTTGGTATCAATGCCCTCCCTTCCCCTCCCCCCATGCCTCTGCATGCTGCCCTCTCACAGCCTGGCAACAAGGTTCTACACACACACACACACAGGCCTTTGGACCTGAGGGCCACCTAGTGCCAAGCAGGACAGAGGGAGTTCCCACACCTTACCCCAGGGTAGACCGGCTTTCCTCCTGCTCCATCCTGGGAAGCCTTGGTCACGGGAGGCCCACTGTGGCTCACTGGCTGGACATTCCTCTCCTCCAATAATACATCCTAGCGTGGTTATACACTGTTATGTCAACTCCACAAGGGCAGGGTCCAGCCGCTTTGCCTGGCCTCACCTTGGCACTGTGCCAGCCGTGGAAATGCTTACCCAGTGCCTGGGACTGTTCGAAATGTTTCATGCGTTATCAATCCAATGTCCAGCATGGGAGGGAGTATGTCCTTTCACAAATGAGAAAACGGAGGCCCGGCAAGATTCAGTAACTTGCCCGAGGCGCCACAGCCGCAAGACGCAGAGACCCCACTCAGGCAGCAGTGGTAAGGGCTCCCCACCCCCACTACAACGCCCTTTCCAGCTCAAATCCCAGAGAGGGCTGCGTGCACATCCTCCTGCCCAGCAGGGGCTGCAAGCAGCCTGGGATGCCCGAAAGGGAACTAATCTATCTGATGGACCTGGATTCCATCCTGACTCACCCCTGGCTGCCTGTATAACCTGGAGCAAGTCCTCACATCTCATGGCCTGTCTCCTCCTCCGCTAAATGGGGATGATAATGTCTATTTCACACAGTCATGGGGAAGAATAAATTAGAGCGACGAGAGGTGCCTGGGTCGTGAGTTAATACAGGAGTATCCTTCCTCATGAGCTTGACTCGGAACAGAAGAGCTCAAGTCTGCTATGACAGGGTGGTGACAGAGGGGTAGCTCTGGGGGCCTGACCTCCCTCCTGAGCCCTGGGATAGCTGCCCAACCCCCGCTTGGGGCAGAGACCCCTCACGTGCCAGGGCCCCTGTCCTGGATGCACCAAGCTCACCGAGACTAGCCGCTGCAGGGAGGACAGACCTCCCCACCCAGTGCTCCCCTTCTCTTCTATGACCCAGGCTTCAGAGCTCAGTGCCACAGCTCCACCCACCAGCTCCATGTGGTGGGGGGAGGGGAGGGTGCTAAGGCAGCAGGGGTGATGACAGGAATCCCACTAAGGCATGGACCTGAACTAAAGGCAGCAGAGCAGCAGTGGCAGCCTGAGCTGCTGGCACATATCCAGGCTCCATGCTGACCGACTGAGTGACCTTGGGCCAGGCCCCACCCCTCTCAAGTCTACAGCTGGGCTGGACAATCCCCAGGGTCCCCATCAGGTGACTATGCCCTTTCACAGTGGCCTTCAAGAGTCAACAGCCCCAGGAAGTGATGTCAGGGCAAGGAGGAGGGGTGGTTGGGAGGGAGCAGGGAGGCCCAGTGAGTAAGAGGAGATATTTTGAGAGCAGGCAGGTCCCCCCACGTCACTACTGGACAATGGTCAGGGGCTGGGAGTGGAAAATCCTGCTCTCACTCCAGCTGAAAATAACACAAGGCAGGGGTCAGAACCTCACTCACTAGGTGGATGGTCTAGGCCCTGAGCAGCAACGACAGATGTCCACATCGAGGGGTCAGACAGTCTTACTGGTGTCCAGGAGTGGAACCCTGAGCCTGACCCTGGTTCCCTTAGAGTCTCTCTGTCCCCCCCCCCCCCAGTGTCTCACACTGGATTAGATGGTAAGGCCCTCCTTTCCCAGGTCCTTTGTGCTGAGAATGTGCTGGTTCAAGGAAGACCTCCTGGGGCTAGGTCATAGTGTTAGCTCCATGTGCTGTAGGGCCCTGGGTTCTCAGGGTCTCCAGGACAGCCACTTGAGGAGTAGATAGGCAGAACATGAAAGGAATGGGGACTAAGGGTACTTGGGCCTGTGTGACCACAGCCCTACCCCCAATCACAGATGCACACTCAGGAGCCCCCAGAATCATAGTGTACAACCTCCTGCCTCTGGGTCTAAGCAGGACTGAGGGAATCAGAGCCCAGCATTTACACTCTTAGGTGTAATCTTACCTGGGTATGGGGTTCCTATAACTAGGATGGGGTTCAGCCTGAGCAGCAGCTGGTAGGAAAGAGACAGGCTTGGGCCTGCAGGAAAGGCTCAAGGACAGTCTGCAAAAAATAGTCACAAAAAAAAGCTCACAGGGACTCCGGTCACATTAACAGAAGTATAGGACCTAGAATATGGGAGGTGAGCATTTCACACTACTTTGAGCACATCACCACCATTGCAATCCAGAATAATTTTTCTGGATCCTGGCTTTTGATGGATTCCTGCTGCATCAGGTTGCTGTGGAGATAGACTCAAACTCTTGAGGAAAGGGTGCTCTGTTCTGACAAAGTAGAGTGGGAAGGGTGAAGAAGTCATAAGAGGGAGGCAGAATTTGGGTAAGAAAAGAATCTTCTCTCAGGCAGAGTGGGCTGATAGGGCAAGGGGTGTCCCCGAGGAAGGGAGTGAGTCTTTACATTTGAGACTGAGAGTGAGATGGGATGCCTGGGTGGCTCAGTTGGTTAAGCAGCTGCCTTCAGCTCAGGTCATGATCCTAGCGTCCTGGGATCGAGTCCCACATCGGGCTCCTTGCTCAGCGGGGAGCCTGCTTCTCCCTCTGCCTCTGCCTGCCATTCTGTCTGCCTGTGCTCGCTCTCTCTCCCTCACTCTCTGACAAATAAATAAAATTAAAAAAAAAAATTAAGAGTGAGGCCTATCAGCTTTGCCCTACTCCTGTCCTAAAGCTGAGCTGGGCCCTGTTCATCTGAGTTCTACAAATCTCCACAGTCATGCCGGGTGGACCCAGAATCTGTCACAGGTGAGAAAGATCTCCTTCAACCTAAGCCCTGACCCAGGCTAAGCACGAACTATTATGCCACACAGCTGGATTTTCCCAAGAGACAGAGGAATGGCCAGAAAGAGAAATGAATCTCTCCCAAACTTAGCGCCTGTGCGAAGGAAACCTCGGGGAAAGGCAAGGAGGGAGCCCTGTCTTGCTATCCTCGTGATCCAACCTCAGCCTCATTCCTGCTGTGAGCCTGGGCACCGGCTGCCCGGCCTGTTTCCAGTTCCTGCATACCCTGCTTTCCTGTCCCCATGTCTTTGCCCAAGATGCACCCTGCACCTGGACGTTCTTCTCTGATGAACTGCTTTTCTCAAAAGCTACAGCCCAGGAGTGTCCCCCACTCCAGGCAGCCTCTCTGACCCAGTGGTCCACAGCCCCAACCACGCAGCATTATCGGTGGCGTGCTGGAGCCTCTTGGCTCTGCTTGCAAGAGCCAAGTGTTACATTCTCAGGAACTGTGAAAGAAGGTTGATGTCACATTAGTAGTCTGAAACTGGCCAAGGCAGGAGTATCTGCACCACTGCTGTTGGCAAGGCTACAAATAAGGGGTTCACCTCACCCCCTGGAGAACCAGTTAGATGGTTTAGCATTTACCAGCACATGACTGGTCATAGCCATTGAGCCCTAAAGTGGGGGGATCCCAAGGACAGGACCCCACCTGACTCCTGCCTGCTGAGGCAGCTAATGGGAGGACAGGTGGCAGAGGAGTACAGGCTGGAGAAAGGACCCCAATGTGGCTGGTGAGAGCTTCTTAGGCTGTACCGTCATCTTCAAACCACACAACAGGGCACAACACAGTAGGTAACAACCACATCAGTACAAGTTACAGCCTCAAACTGGCTCCCAGCCCAGGGGAGCCTCCAGCTGTGTTTCTGACATCAGTTCCCTGATGTTTCGTTCATCACTCAGGATGGGGCTCCTCCTCAGAGGAAAGAACCATCCAGACCTGCCCTAGACCCCTCTGCAGGAAGCTCTGGCTCAGTGCTGGCGCCTTACCAGGGTCCTTTGGTCAGCCTGTAACCCTGCCCCTCCCAGGTGGCTCAGGCCCAGACTGTGACCTTGGTAAGTCGCTTTCCCCTCTGGGCCCAGTTCTCCATTTGACTTGATCAGGCTTTGATCAAGCCTTGACCTGACCTGGCAGGTGCGGCCGGCTATCGTGTGCGAGCCAGGCCAGGGGCCTTACCCTTGCCTTTCCTGAAGCCTTATTCCCCAACTCACACACACAAATTGTGACAGGCGTCCTAGGGACTGTTGAGATCTCTGGGCCACAGACAGCATGCTGAGCCCCTGCCAAATGACAGAGCACTGAGGTCACGACTCCCTTGACCATCAGGCATGAGTCACTAATGGGGCCCTATCTAGGGAGAATATCCCATCTGCAGAAGTCCTAGTCCCTATAGCCCCAGCCCCTATATGAACTTGCACAGGCCTGAGGGGCTCAGGTCCTACAGCCGGATGTCCTTAGTGTTCTCACCACCAGCTGGTGTCGACTCTGTCCGCCTAGAGTCCTCACTGCTGGTCGATACCTCTCTGGTCCTCTTGATGTCAGTCCTGTCCGACCTGCGCAGGCCCACTCTGCGGCGAGCTGGGGCCACCGGAGTGGGGTCGGTGGGCAGCTTGGCATCTCGGGCAAAGCGCACAAGCCTCTGCCCGGCCAGGAAGTAGAGCACAGGGTCCAGGCAGCTGTTGGCACTGGCAAGCGGCCGCGTGATCTTGTAGGCCATGTTGACCGCATTGAGGGTGTGGCAGCTGAGGTCCAGCGAGCGGAAGGAGTAGTAGAGAGTGCGCGTGACGTGGAAGGGCAGGAAGCAGAGCGCGAAGACGGCCAGCACCACCGCGATGGTGCGCACCGACTTGCGCTTGGCCCGCGGCAGGCCTCCCGACGTCCCGTAGGCCGGCTTCAGCAGCCGCCGAGCCATGAGCACGTAGCACACCAGGATGGTGGCGAAGGGCACGGCGAAGAGCAGCCCCAGCATCACAGAGCTGTAGGCCACGAACTGGCCGAAGAGCTCGGGCGCGGACGTGTCGTGGCAGGTGATGCGGCCACCGCGCGCGCTGGTGGTGACGAAGTAGAGCACGGGGGACTGGCAGGCCAGCACCAGAACCCACACGGCGGCCGCCACCCGGCGGGCGTAGCGCGCGCGGCCCCAGCGCAGCGAGCGCAGCGGCCGCAGGACCCCCAGGCAGCGGTGCAGGCTGATGCACGTGAGGAAGAGGATGCTGCAGTACAGGTTGGTGTAGAAGAGGAAGCGCACGAGCTTGCACAGAACCGTGCTGAAGGGCCAGTGGTCGCCGCGCGCGTAGTAGTAGACCAGCAGCGGCAGGGAGGCGGCGTAGAGCGCATCGCACACGGCCAGGTGGAACATGTACGTGGTGGACGCGTTCCAGGTCTTGAGGCGGCAGAGGAAGATGTAGAGCGCCGCGGCATTCAGACACAACCCCAGCACGCACACCACGCCATAGGACACGGGCAGCAGCACGTACTTGAAGTCCTCATTGAAACGGCACTTGTAGCCCAACTCGTCCCCTTCCCAAGAGTTATTGGCCGTGCCGTTCCAGCGTCCCAGGGCTGTGGCCATCGCCCTGAGAGGGAGGGGGATGGCAGGGGTTGGGGGGTGGGGGGAGAAGAGCCGTCAGTGTCACGACTGGGGCTGGGGGGGGGAGCCTGACACACCCACCCGATGGGGGCCATGAAGGACCCAACGCACCCACAGAGCCCTTTGGTTAAGATCTGCCCAACCAGGTTCCAGGCCTTTGTAGCCTTCTGACCTGACTCTCTCCCTGACCCAGAGGGCCCAGAACCATGGAACCCTAGAACTTCGAGAATGCGTGAGCACTTCGAGAATGCGTGAGCTCCATGAGTATCAGGGCCACATACCTCTAAAACTTCAGGACAGGGATAGGCAAACTACAACCGGAGGGCCAGAGGCAGCTTACCAGTCTGTTTCTGAAAACAAAACAAAACAGAACAAAACAACTTGACTGGAACACAGTCATACCCATCTATTTATGAAGAGTTGAATGGTTGTGACAAAGATTGTATGTTCTTGAAAGCCTAAAATAACTACCACCTGGCCTTAAAAAAAAGTTTGGCCACCCCGCTCTAGAACCTCAGGAGCACAGAGTTCTAAATCAAGGACCCTGAGCTCTAGAATCTGAGAAGCTGGGGGTCCCACCGCAGTGTCATCTCAGATTCACAGAAAGGGGTCTCTAAGGATGGCTGGCTTGGCCCACACCCAGTGCCCACTGCCTGCTGAGGTGTTTCTGGCCAGTGGGCAGTCCCTACTTTCCTGGAAGCATTAGAAAGTTCTTTCCTTTAGGGGCGCCTGGGTGGCTCAGTCAGTTAAGCCTCTGCCTTCGGCTCAGGTCATGATCCCAGAGTCCTGGGATCAAGCCCCACATCAAGCAGCTCCCTGCTCATCAGGGAGTCTGCTTCTCCCTCTAACCCTCCCCCCCAGCTTATGAACTCTCTCTCTCTAATACATAAAATCTTAAAAAAAAAAAAAAAAAAAAAAAAAAAAACCATAGACAGTTTCTTACTATAGAATAAAATATAAGAGTCTAAAATACAGATCATTAAAATAAATTGGCCAAGGTCACATAGCTAGGGATGCCTGCATTTCCTATCCAGGTCCACCCCACAATGGAAAGGGTCAGAGGAAGGAGGCAGTGAACTCCCTGTTTGGGGGGTAAGAGGCTCTTCTAGCAGATCTGCGGAAAGGCTTGCGTCCTGTGTGTGGGTGTGTCTGGGAGGACAGAGAGGGGAGAGGACATGTGAGTTCTCCCTATCTTAGGAATCTGGGGCTGTACAATTCCCTTCCTTTTGGAACCTGAGGTCCTGAGAGGCTGGGACTTGAGGATTCTGTAGGGCCAGTAACACCCACTCTCTTAGGCCATGAGCTTCCTGCCCAGCCTAGAAACAATAGTTCAGGCCCCCTGAGGCTGAGATTAGGGGGCTGAAAGACACATAGGTCCCTCAGTTTCCCTTCTCTGCCCATGCCCCACACCCCCCATCCCAGAATCTTATGTGTCTCCTGTTGTCAGCAAATGTGCAAACAGGAAGAAGGGAGTGTGTACCTCCCAGAGATGCAGGTTCCTTCTCAAGGAGGCAGGGCTGACCCAGGGTGAAGGAGACAGGGAGGTTATGTGGTGCCAAACTGAGTGGGGGCAGCACTCCCCTCCCCAGGGGGAACTCTGGCTAGGGCTGGCCTGCTGGGACCCCTCTGGCCCAGAGCCAGGACTCAGGACCTGGCATCAAAGCATTTCCTGTATCCCACCCCGGCTCCACACTGCCCATGCTGCCTTCACCCTCCCTGCCTCTCTAGCCTCAGTTCCCCCCAATCCAGAGGAGTCTTTGTAAAGACAAAGTCATTCCTTTGCTTGAAACCCTCTGTGGCTCCTGCCTATTCTCAGAAGAGAACCCTGCTCCTTGCTCTGGTACGGTGGCCTTCTCCTGAATCTTTAGGAAGCTCTCTCAGGTCACCAGCGGAGGAGAGACAGGTCTTCACTGAAGGCTGTGCAAAAGGGGGGTGTGGTCGGCCAGGGGAGTGATGTTAAGGCCCAGGCTGGAGGCAGGCCTGGGGATGCTGAGAGGGGAGAAACTAGCCCAGAGGGAGTTTGGGGAGGGTAGGGGCGGGAGAGGGAGGCTGGTGGGATGCCTGGCTCAGGGGTGGGGAGGAGGAGCAGGTATGGGGAGAGAGGCACTCCTTGTCAGATATGACCATGCTGAGGTCTGGCCAGTCTCTCCTCTGGGTCAGGGCCCTCTCCCCCACCCCCCACCCCACCCACCCCAAGCTACAGTATCTCTACACAAAAGTTTTCTGGCTAATCACTAAAGGTGGAATTTCTGATGCTAGTGAGATGGGTGGGGACTTCCCTAAGTCTCTCATGAACCAAGGAAACTGCCCTTTCCACCTGTTTTAAGACATCCTGGCCTCCACCCACTCAGGCCAGCTGGGGACTCCATTGCCATGGCCTTCATCCAGAATGAACCTGCCTGCCCTGTCCCTCCACTGGCTGGCCCCCCAGCTCCTGCTTATGAAGATAACCAAATCCCCAGCCCTCTTCCTTGGCCCTCCGCTCTGCCTCTCCTTACCCCCAATGCCCTCGGGGTCTCACCCCCAGCTCCCACCTAACTTTGTCCAACACCACTTGCCAGCCCCTCTGTGCCCGGTTCTGTCTGGTCCTGCCTTGTAAGTGCCCTGCCAGGCTTCCCTACCTTTGCTTACGCTGTTCTTTCTGCCTGGAAAGCCCTCCCAGAACCCACTTGCACTGTACCCCATCCTGCTCTCCCCTCCAGGCTCTCTCAAATGTCACCTCGTCTCTGAAGCTCTGCCCCTCCACCACCCTGACGTTCCTCACACCCTGTTGGCAATCTGTTCTTCCACCCTCTACCCCCCAACACATTCCAGGTGCTCCTAGAGGGCTGCATCCATCTGATTCTTTTCTCTGTCCCAATCACCCAGGAAGAGGCCTGATCCAGAGCAGGTATGACACGAATGAGAGAACGAGAGAATGAATGAATGAAGCAAGCACAAAAGGATACAGGGGTCCAGGGGATGCTGAGCTTTATTTTTTTAAAAAAGATTTTATTTATTTATTTGACAGACAGAAATCACAAGTAGGCAGAGAGGCAGGCAGAGAGAGAGGAGGAAGCAGGCCCCCCGCTGAGCAGAGAGCCTGATGTGGGGCTTGATCCCAGGACCCTAGGATCATGACCTGAGCTGAAGGCAGAGGCTTTAACCCACTGAGCCACCCAGGCACCCCGAGGCTGAGCTTTATGACAGTGGCTCTTCTTTCCCTTATCCCTCTGAGGGCCTCCCAGAGTGGCCCTGACACAGATTTCTCAGTTGCCTACCCTAGCTGGCCTCCTGGGGAACACTCCTGGGAACCAGTCCACCTGAGGCCTATTCCTCCTCCTGCCCTAGGCAGGCACCTGGACTGCCTCTCAATTTCAAGAGGCCTGCCATTCTCCGGCCAGGCCAGGGAAATGCCAGGGGGAGGGGAACTGGACCCAGGCATCCTGGAGGTGTGTCAGCTGTCTGAGCCAAACACATTCTTTCATCTTGCTCATCCCTGGTTCAGGTCATGGGGTCAGCCTGGATCAGGAGTTCCCGGTCCTGGTGCCCCCTTACCCGCAACCCCTCATTTTGTAGGGGCCGAGCCTGGGCTGAACAGCTTCCATGCAGCATCTTCATTTCACCACCCCCCCACTTACTCCTCAGCAGATACTGCCACAGAGGTTGAGCTACTCGTTCAAGGTCACACTGCTAGGAATGGGAGAAAATGGGCTTCATACCATGGCTCTCTGGCTCTGAAACCTGAACTCATCACAGCCTGGGATGAGGGAGCAGGGTAGGGATCCCCCTCAACTGAACCCTGCTCAGCATATACACACGCACGAGTGAAGCTGCACGGGCCTCCCAGCACGCCCATACCTGACCAGCACCTGCTCTCCATCGGGATGCTCAGTGCCTGCTCAGGTTCCTCACTCATGAATGCGCAGGCCTGGACCAGGGCGCAGGGGATTCTTCGGGAAACAGGAAAAACAGGTCCCAAGGCCTGGGACTGCACCCAGCTTCTAGCATTTCTCAGGGCAGGCCATGCTGTGGGCTCTGTGGAAGTGGAGACAGCAGGTGCTCTTGGGTTGCTGGTTGCAGGAAGTCACCTGGGCAGAGCCCTCCCAGGCCCACTTCTGATGCTCTAACCTCAGTCCAGAAGAGGCAGGCTCTGGTGTACTTGTCCCAGTAGGAGTGCCCGCTGCCCACCCACACCCCTAGCCATCTACCCTTGGCTCACGTGGTGCAGAGATGGTTGCTCCCAGCCTCCCCCCCCCCGCCCCCAGCAGCCCCTTTCACAGGAGTGTGGCTCTGTTGGGGAAAGTCTTCCTTTCACAACCTGCAGGGCTGAGCACCATCTCCAATGCGCTGCCCCCCCCCATCCTGGTCTGTGTTTCAGTCCCTACAGTTGCCTGGTATACACTCGACAGTACTCATGCCAACACAGATTTGTTCAAGCTAGGCCTCTTCTGGAATCCTCCTCCTCCCTGTCCCACCTATAATCATTCCTCCATAGGTGTTATAAACACACATGAACACACATGGACATAGCCAGATACCCAGAGACTTACACAGTCACATTCAGATGTCTACACAGCACGAGCACACACATGCATGTGTGCCCACACGGTGTCCTAGATAGGGCCTGGAAGAGCCTTTAGAAATCACCTGCACCAGGGTCGCCTGGGGGCTCAGTGGGTTAAGCCTCTGCCTTCAGCTCAGCTCATGATCTCAGGGTCGTGGGATCGAGCCCTGCGCCTGCTTCCCCCTCTCCCTCTCTCTTCCTGTCTCTCTGCCTACTTGTGATCTCTCTGTCAAATAAGTAAATAAAATCTTAAAAAAAAAAAAAAAAGAAAAAGAAATCACCTGCACCAAATTCCCATTTGACAGAGGAGGAAACTGAGGCCCTGACACCAGACCTCACCATACTCCAGGGACAGAGCCAAGACTGGAGCACAGGCCTCCCGAATTCTGGCCCTCGTTCTTATCTCTTGTCTTGTCTGCGAGGCCCTCGCACACAACAGGCACAAGGTTTCACTGATGGAGTGGCTGGTTCCCTGGGGGAGGGGCCCCTCTGGATGTGCAAGTCCCAGCATCCGCCAGAACCTCAGGCTCATCAGCGGAGAGAAGGACATCTCCTTCATTCTTCCATCTGCTCCATTTCCCTACAATGGGGGGCAGGAGGTGCTGGTCTGAGACAGCTAAAGCCAGGTCTCCAGGCTGGAAGCTAAGTGCAAGGGGGGCGGGTGGCGCCAACGTGGGAAGAAGAGAGGAGGAGACAGCCAGTGCAGGAACAGGGCAGGAGGGGTGGTGCGGAGAAACGTCCTAGTGATCTGCCAACCCGCTGAGGAGTCTGGTGACCAAGGAAAGAGC